GCTATAGAAGATCAAAGTCTTCAACATGGATTACATCTCAAAGTCAAGAAAACAAAAATTCTCCCCACTAGACTGATAGGCATGGAGGGTGGAAAAAACATTGAAACATCTTTCTTGGATGCACAATCAATATGCTTCATACCAGCTGTCAGAAGATCAGATGTATCACACTGGGAACATCTGTAGCCAGGAATGTCTCCAAATTACTGAGGATATTACAATGGTGATAGTCTGGGGACTAAGGTGTGCCTGACTCAGGCCATGGTTTTTAAATTACTTGCGATACATCTGAGAGCTGGACAATGATTAAGGATGACAGAAGAATTGATGCCTTTAAGCTGTGGTGTTGGAGGAGGGGACAGGATATCCCATGAACTGCCAAAAGAACAAACAGATATGTCCTGAAGAAGGTACAGCCAGAATGTTCCTTGGAGGCAAGGATGGTGAAGCTTTGTTTCACATTCTTTGGGCATCTTGCTAGGAGAGGCTATTCCTTGGAGGACATCATGCTTGGAAAGGTGGAGGGACAGCGAAGGAGAGGAAGACCCTCAAGTTGATGGGTTAACACAGTGACTGTGGCAGTGGGCTTAAAAGCATCAGAGATTGTGAGATTGGCACAGAATAGGACAGAATTCAGTTCTGCTGTTCATAGGTAACTATGAATTGTACTCCATGGCATCTAACAATAACAACAACAAGAAGGAAACCCGTTTGGCAAGATGAAGTGATGTCTGCTACTATCTTATTGGACAGTTTCCCACCACACCTGTGCAAGGCTGCAGGAGCTGGCCAGTGGCCTTTGCCTTCTGGAGCTCAATGAGTGCCGGGCTTGAACAAAGCTCTTTACAGAGGGACGCGGGAGAGCTGAAAGGGAGCAGAGTGAATTCTGCAGGAAGAAGTCAGTGGCCTGAGGCAACCAGCACTGTCTGTAGCCAAAGCCTTGCTCAAAGGCTCTGTTCAATACCTCCCATGGGAGCCACAATGACATGGATTGGTCTTTTGTAGCAAGCTGCTTAGCCCCAGGGCACACAGATGCAAATAGGGATCACAATGTCTCAGCAAGTGGCTTTATGCAGTGCCCCAATGGGACCAGGGCTCTAAGCAGAAAAGGTTCAGCCTGAGGTTACTTCCAGGAGCCCCAGGCATCCACGGGGAACCAGTTTGTTTTTTGTGGCCAGTTTCTACTCATGCATGCATGTCAGACAGCTGTGCTTTACTGAATTATAAGTGGTTTATTTTCCCAGAAATAGAGCACCAGATCTTCCTTCAGGGTTGCCTCCGGGTGGACTTGAACCTCCAACTTTGATTAGCTAACAGATTAGTTAACAGTTTGGATCATCCAGGGACTCCACAGGGGTTCAGCTGGAGTTAAGAGGCAGGTTGAGGACCCTGAAGGTGTTAGAGATGAAGGAGTTTGCCTCCCCTGGGTTTCTGCTCTCCAAGTTAGCAACCAGCCTACAAAGCATTAGAGACTGCTTCTGCACCTGCTACAAGCAGTGCGAAGAGTTAAACACCCTGCAAACAGAACTGCTGTTGTTATGTACAGCCAAATCAGAACCTACCCACAGCTGATCCCCCAGCAGGTTTTCAGAGGCTGCAAATCACATGAGAAGAGACAACCCATCTTTCTCCCTCAGAGAAGGGTGATTGCCTTTGAGTTGACAGTGTAACTTCATACCCCTAATCCACTTGAGTGCCCTGCAAACTAAGCAGTTGTGTTCTGTTGAATCAGAACTGACCCATAGCTGACCCTCTGCAGGTTTTCTGAGGCAGTTAATTGCACAGGAGGAGACTGCCCATCTTTCTCCCGCAGAGCAGCTTTGGGATTTCAGCACCGCTGCTTACCACTATGCCACCAGAGTTCCCCATTTCATTCATATGAATTGTTAAATAAACTACTGTCCCACATTTCTCTCCTGTGTTCTTCAGACCCAGTGTCCACCTCACATATGGCTCCCTTTCCTGCTTTCCTCTTCTTAGGAGGCTTGGGTTAGAGCATAGTTTAGATGCAAGAGAAGCTTCTGGAATCAGACTAGGACAGCTCTGCCACTGAGGGACTCTTCAAACCCCGGAATGACAGCCTTCTCTTTATGTGTCCATGACCTAATTCCTGAATTTATCCAAGGGCAAAGAGGACCTGAGATGCTTACTGTGGAAGGTTAAAGACTACAGCGTTCATTATGGACTACAGCCCAACAGCAAGAAAACAGAAATCCTCACCACGGACCCAGCAGGCACCATCATGATTGAGAGAGAGAAGACTGAAGTGGTTCATGATTTCATCTTGCTAAGATCCACGACCTTAAGGTCCCTTGGGAACAGCAGTGAGTCACAAAAGGACAAATACTGCACAACACCACTGTTATCAAATAGGACAGATGGTGGGGAGGGGGTGGGGAGAGAATGGGAAAAGAGTGGATAGATAATGAACATTGCTATAGAGCAGATGAGGGGAAGAACATGTGATTATATTATATATATTATATACAATTATATATTACATGTATGACAACAGTCTGGGACATGGGATACATTGTGGGGAGGAGTACAGGGGGAAGGAGGAAGAAAAACTGCACTATTGGAAAAAAAAATGTAAAAAACCCAAACATGTTGTATTGGGAAAATCTATGGCCAGGGACCTCTCCAAGGTACTGAGGAGCAGTGATACCAGTTTGAGGACTAAGGAGTGCCTGATTTGAGCCATGGTCATTTCAAGTGCTTCATATGTATCTGAAAGCTGGACAGTGACTAAGGATGAATCAACGCCTTTGAGTTATGGTGTCAAGAGAAGAGTATCCCATGGACTGCGAAAAGAACACATATGTCTTGGAGAAGGTGCAGTCACGGTGCTCTTTAGAGGCAAGGATAGTGAAACTCACCTACTATGGGCATGTTGCTAGGAGAGACCAATCTTTGGAGGACTTCATGCTTGGAAGAATGGAGGGTTAGTGAGAGAGCGGAAGACTCTGAATGAGATGGAGTGACACAGTGGCTGGAGCAGTGGGCCCAAGTGTAGCAAGAATGGTGAGAATGGCACAGGATAGAGTAGTGTTCCGGTTAGGTGTTCATAAGATCGCCATGAGTTTTATTCAGTTCAATGGCACTCAACAACAACTAGAACTTTGATAATGTTGTCACAGAGCAGGAAACCTTCGAGATTTCCACTGTGAAATCTTCACTGGATTGAGGTTTCAGGCCATGTTGGTTGTCTCCTGGTCACAAAGGGGCTGCCACAACTTCAGCCTTCATGTTCACATTCATGGTGAGAAAATGTGGGGAAAGAATGTCAGCGCAAGGGATGCCAGCAGGCCTTTGTCTTTGTTATCTGTCTAATCAAGATGACAAGTGCTCATTAGTAATGCCCAGTAGACTGTACATACATTGGTCAGGGCATCCGTCCATGGCTAGCTGCACAGGAGCATGTTAGGGCGAGTCTCCAGCTTGTTTTGGTGTCTGTAGGGGGCAGCAGAGGGAGCTTGGGTGGCCTAGTGGTAAGGAGCTGTGCTGGCAACTCAAAGGCATGTGGTTCAGATCTACCATCTGCTCCTCAGAAGGGGGAACAATCTCCGATGCAATTTATAGTCTCTGTGTTAGACAGAAAAGAAGAATGTGAGGGCGAGGGAGAGAAAGAAAGAAACCGGTCCCCAGAAACGGACAGGCCTTTATTGTGTGGTCTGAGAGGGACGCCAAGTGACCCAGCCACACAGCACGCGGATGGAAATGGCGCATGGGCAGTCTGGGGGTGGGGGGTGTGATCCTTCTTATACAGGTTTTAGGGAGGACTAAGATGGTATTTCTCAGAATTTGGCATGTAATTAAGTTAGATTTTAGCTATTTTGAGCAGGCTCAGACCCTTATTAGGATCCACTGTCTGGTCTTTAATATGACCAGCTCCGATGTTATCAAGTTTCTCAGGAAGTGATCAAGCTGGGCGGGCGGGGGTGGGAGGCAACTGCCATATTCTTCCTCCAGTCTGAAAACTGGAGGGCCAGCTATGAGTTGATAGTACAAATAACAACAAGAGGGGTGAGTTCAAGTGCGGAAAGGGTGAGTGATTGTCGGGCTGGCTGACCAACCATTAGACTGTGCTCATCTCCAGATTCCCAGTGCGAACTTTTCATCCTTCCTTGTCCTCGTCACTCCTCATCTCAAAGAAAGAGAATGGAAGGGGGGGGGGGCGACTGTCTGCACTCAGTTCATTTCAGCGTCTATATAGCCCTGCTTCCAAGACCAGGTTCTCTGATGTCCTGTAGATAAAGGCTGTCTACTAACAACTTCAAGTCAAAGCCGAATGCCAAGACTCTGTGGTTTTAGAAGATCCTAGGGAACTTCCCTTCCTAGCTCCACAGGGGACCCACCCAGAACCCCACCTGCCAGGTTACACCATAATCATGGCTGAAAAGTAGGGGAGGGTGTGTGTGTACCTGCTCGGGTAGACAATGCCTTTGTTTCATTCCATTGAGGCTTGGAGCTTTCCCAGGGCCTCTGTGAACTACTCAATAGCTAAGTCCTTGTTTGATTTTTTTGGTTTTGTTTTCTATTTCTTTATGCAATCTTTTTTAAAAAAAATTCAACACCACAGTTCACGTCTTTTATGCAGTCTCATTGATCACATCCATCACACCCTGCAAAAATTCTCTCTACTCTTTTCTAAATCATTCCATCACCACTGACATAAATTCAGTGCCCCAAGCAAAATCCCCTGCCCTTTCTCTTCCTCTGCACTCCCACTAACAAGCTTTGGTTTCTATTTGCCTATTCCTTACAAGTGAGATTCTACAGTATTTAATAATTTTGCAGCTGATGTGTTTGCTCAGCATGGCACTTTCAGGGTCCACCCGTGTGGTGGCTCTTCATTTCTCTTCCCGACTGAGTGGCATTCCATCGCAGGGACCGTGTGTGTGTCTCTGTTCACCTGTTGATGGACATCTTGGTGGCTCCCACCTCTTGGCCAATGCCTGGAGGTCTGCAATGAACACTGGCGTCCTTGTGTTTTTCAGGTTTGGGGTGATCCATTCGGTGTTCACCAACCTGCTTCTCTGGGCCAACAGCGTCCTGAATGAGTCAAAGCACCAGCTGAATGAGCACAAAGAAAGGCTCATCACCCTGGGCTTTGGGAACATAACGATAGGTGAGTGCTGAGGCTCAGGCCTCTGCCGTGCTGGAGTAAGACCGTAGAGACCACAGTGTCTAGAGATGGAGGGGCAAAGCTCACTCCACATGACCCAGACAGTCCTCTATTGTTGAAAGTCTTGCACAACCTCCGAAGCCTCTCCTCCTACCTTCCTAAGTAGGGTGTGCTGAGCATAATGAAAGGTTTCTCCAATAACACAGGCACTTGTAGGTTATAATTCCCATCACCATATCTCAGGCTCCACACTGGTATTGGAACGAGTGACTTTGTTTTCAACTATGGAAGATTGGTGGTTGTCTTTCATTAAGGCTCTTACCAGTTCTATCAACATTCTAGCTAAAAAAAATAATCATGACGTCTAATGGAAGGTTGTAGCTAATTAGTTTTAGTTCATTTTAAGCTTTTTTATTCAGTTGTACTTGGTAGACTTCATAGCAACATGAAGCCCACCCTAGTAAAACAAAGTGAGAGATGGATAGAAGACTGAACATACAACAATGCTGTCCCATCTATGTGACCTCAGACCAATCTGTGTTATCTACCTACCTGTTTATCAACCACAGACTGTAACTATATCGAATCAAACTCTATTGTTTTTGCTGTTGTATGCCACTGAATCAGAACCCACCCTTCAGTGAGTTTTCAGAGGCAGTAAATTGCATTGGAGAAGAGTCCCTCTTTTCTCCTCAGAGCAGCTGCTGGATTTGAACCATGTGCCTTTGGGTTTGCAGCACAACTTCTTACCACTAGGTCACCAGAGCTGCCAGAGTCACACTCTATTTTCTCTTTGAAAACTTTGTTTTTGTTGCTCAGAATCTTGTGATCCATTTTATGTTGTTGAACAGTGCTGAGCCAGAACGGTTTAATAGTTGACCCTCCAGTGGGATTTCAGGGAGGAGAGTTCATTCCTCTCTCTCAGGGCAACTGGTGGATTCGAACCCTGTTCCTTTGAGTTGGCAGTGTAGCTCCTTACCACTAGAGCTGGTAAACTTCTATACTATTTAGAGTGGATGCATAGCACTAAACTATGGCTAAAACACGATTCACGTGTGTCATAGTAGGGGAAGAGTCATGGCTCAGTTTAGACATATCAATCATGAGCTAGAATTACCCCCCCCCCATTTAGCTAAGCAAGTGAAAAAAGTTTACGATAATAAGACACAGGCATAGCTACTGAAAGGTTGTTACATGCTGTCAAGTTGACTGAGATTCATAGCCACCCTATGCTCTGAAGCCTATTCTAAACTGAGCCAATCTCACTGTCTCTGACACACCTACCCCCACTGCTCCAATTACTGTGTCAACCCATCTCCTCCGGGGTCTTCCTCTCCTGCGCTGTCCCTCCACCCTCCCCAGCATGATGTCCTTCGCCAAAGACTACTGGTCCCTTCTAGCCACGTGCCCAAAGTATGTGAGACAGTTTCAAAATTCCTTGTCTCCAAGGAGCAGCTTGGTTTCACCTTCTCTAGGGCAGACACAAAAAATATAAAGTGAAAAAGAAGTAAGAGGGAAAGGGAGAAAGGACCTACCAGAAACGACAGGAGGGAAGCCAAGCCATACAGCCTGATAATAGCAAGAAAGGGAAGAAAGACAGCAGGAGCGCCCTGTAGGGAGGGCTTTTATTGACTCACAATCTCACAGATACTTGGTTGTAGTCAGCCCAGGCTCGGGACTCATGTGATTGGCTGGGGAGGAGACGGTTATAGTCAGCTCAGCCTCAGGACTCATGTGATTGGCTGGGGAGGAGACGGTCATAGTCAGCTCAGCCTCAGGACTCATGTGATTGGCTGGGGAGGGGGCCGCTTCCTGGTGTAACCACCTTTTGGCTCCTGCTGGAAACTCGATTGCCTGGGTGCAAGTGTAATAATTTCCCTCCCATTTCCAGGGAGGCTCCAGCCCTCAGTGAGCTAAGTGGCAACTCCAGCCCTTGACAGTTCCCCTCTGTGAGGCATTGGGCCCTGGTTCTGCAGGCAATGGGGTGGCGAGGTGTTCCTGGCTACTTCCTGCTGACCGATGGGTGTAGGCCGGCCTCCTGGTGCAGGGGAGCTGAGACGTTCAGATGAAGCTTTCGACTCAGTGGGAAAGCCCAGGCTTGAGTCCCAGGGAGAGCAGAGGGCTGGGGAGAGGATGCACACAGCCCTGCTAACCGCCCTGCCCGGGGCCTGCCCTGTCTCCAGTTCTAGATGACCACACACCGCAGTGCAACTGCTCGCCCCCGCACCTCTGCTCGGCCATCTCGCACGGCATCTACTACCTGTACCCCTTCAACATCGAGTATCAGATTCTGGCCTCCACCATGTTCTACGTCCTGTGGAAGAACGTGGGGCGCAAGGTCGACAGCCGCCAGCATCCGAAGATGCAGTTCAAGTTCGAGGGGGTCACGGCGGGCTCGGTCCTGGGCCTGACGGCGCTGGCGGCCACCATCGGGGTGGTGGTGGTCTACCTGATTCGGATCGGCCGGTCCAAGACCAAGAGCGAGTCTGCGCTCATCATGTTCTACCTGTACGCCATCGCCTTGCTCATGCTCATGGGGGCGGCGGGGCTGGTGGGCATCTGGATCTACAGGGTCAACGAGCAATCCCTGGACGAGTCCAAGAACCCGGCCCGCAAGCTGGACGCAGACCTGTTGGTGAGCACGGCGTCCGGCTCGTGGCTCATCTCCTGGGGCTCCATCCTGGCCATCGTCTGCGCCGAGGACAGCCCCCCGTACACCTGGTACAACCTGCCCTACTCCATCCTGGTGATCGTGGAGAAGTACATCCAGAACCTCTTCATCATCGAGTCCATTCACCGGGAGCCCGACCGGCTCTCCGAGGGCATCAGGACCCTGCGGGTGGTCACCGTCAGCAATGGCAATGCCGCCTCCCTCCCCTCGACCTGCCTCAAGGCTGGAGGTGTGGCGGGGGAGGGGCAGCCCCAGGACTGGGAGATGTCACCTGTGGCCAATGGAAATGTGTACCAGAGGGGAGGCTGTGGCAAGGAGGAAGAGGAGAGGAGCTCGGAGGGGGCCCGCGGCCTGGCCTGTCACCCCCGTTTCTTGCAGGGAAACGCCAGGAGGAAGGTCCTGAGGAACATTGCGGCCTTTCTGTTCCTCGGCAATATTTCGGTAATATGCATCCTGTTACTGTTTGTAAAAATCAGTTCGTATCTGACGCCATTGCTATTGTTTGATTTTAAGTTGAGCCACAGGACAAGTTTTGTTCCAAGTTTGAAGGACGTTGTAGTCTTGGATTCCACTAGTCTCCATTGGACAGTTGTTGTTAGCGTAGTTGAGTTGGAACCCGACTCACAGTTGACCCTCCAGCGGGTTTTCAGAGGCCACATGGGAGTTGATTGGCTATCTTTTGCCTTTAGAGCAGCACATGGATTTGAACCATGTGCCTTTGCGCTGGCAGTGCAGCTCTTTACCGCCAGGCCAGTAAGCCTGGCCATTTTGTTTCACCTTTTTTTTTTTAATTTCCCCACTCTGCCAGCTCCTTCTCCTTTGACCCTTTTCAGGGTAGTGAGCGGTTAGCTGGGCACTGCCTGGTTCTTCTGGTCTCAGGGCCACGGAGAGTGAGGTCTGTGCGATGCATTCCTCCTTTGGACCCACGGTGTCTACACGTGTTTGCTCGTCTTGCCTCTTGCTTGCTCCAGACAGGAGAGAGCAGTAATTGCACCTTAAATGACTCCTCACAAGTTTGCTACTCACCAAAGCAGAATGTAGAACACTGTGGACATCAGGCCAATTGACTTTGATGTCCCCTGAGACACTGGCTGTTTGGAACCACATAATGTCAAAATGGCAGCATTTACCCCAGAGATAAAGTTCAGATTGAGATTGTCAACAGCTTCAGTTTGCTTGGCTCCACAATCAACATGCTTGCCACCAGCAGCCAAGAAACTGAAAGACGTATTGCATTGGGAAGCTCTGCTGTCAGAGACCTCTCCAAAGTACTGAAGAGCAATGACATCAGTCTTGAGGCTAAGGTGCACCTGATCCAGGCCATAGTCTTTGAAATTGCTTGCCCTGCATCAAAAAGCTAGACAATGTGACTAGGGATCATAGAGAATTGATGCCTTTGAGCTGTGATACTGGAGAAGAGTGTTGACTATACCATGGACTGCTAGAAAAACAAACAGGTTCTCCTTAGAGAGGATTAGACCAGGCTGCTCCTTGGAGGAAAGGATTCTGAAGCTTCATCTGATGTCCTTTGGACATGTTGCAAAGAGGGACCAGTCCTTGGAAAGGGACGTTATGCTTTGAGAGGTGGAGGGACAGAGAAAGAGAAGAAGGCCAACGATGAGATGGATTGATTCAGTGGCTGGGGTAATGAGAGTAGGTGTGTCAGAGACAGTAAAGTTGGCACAGGATAGAGTAGGTTTCAGGGCAATTTGTACACAGGGTTGCTATGAGTCACAAGCGACTCGACAGCACACAACAACAACAACAACAACAAAGCTCAGAAGGCAAAAGAAGTACGATAGGATTAGCGGAAGTGAGAACCACAGGGAAGAGGTTGGAAGAGCGTGGTTACATTGTGGGTATTGTAAATAATGCCCTGAAACTAGTTAAATGGAAAATCCGTTCTTTTTTTGAACTTTCACTCAAATCATGATTGGAAGGAAAAAAAGAGCCTGCTTTCTGTGTTTAATGTCAAATAAGGAATACAGGTAGCTTGTGATGAGCTAATGCAAGGGTAAGTTTAAAAAGTGAGCCTAGGGGATACCATTCTACAAGGCTGCTTACTGACTGCTACCTGGCCAGGTTGGGAACTAAAGATTAAGAAGACTCAATCTTTTTGCTCAGAAATGCCACAGGATTGCCACAGCCCCTGAGTGGAACTAGGGGTTGTGTGCTCAACCACTAGCCTGAAAGTTGGTTCACACCTACCCAAAGGTGCCTTGTCAGACAAACCAGGTTATCTATTTCCAGAGGCTCAGCCTTGAAAACACCACAGAGCTCAGTTCTCTCTGCAGTGTGGGCTAGAACCAATTCTGTGGCAATTAATAACACATGGCCGGGGAGAGAAGCAAAGAAAACAATGCAATGGGTATGCTGGGACAGGACAGGAGTGGAAACAAAGTGTAATAGGAATATGGATCCATGGAGAACCTTAAATGAGAAGGATATACATGAGCAGAGCCTGAGTATCAACCAGGAATACTTTTGGTTACAAGTAACCTAGAACTTGACCAAACCACTCAACTGACCCATTGTTAATTGAGTTGATTCTAAGTCATCATGACCCTGTATGGTTCAGAGAAGAGCCACCTCCCAAGGTTTTCAATGCTTGTGATCTTACAAAAGTGGAAGACCAGGCCTTTTATATTTTTCTGGTGACGTCACTGTGAGCATTTGAACTGTCTAACTTCTGGTTGGTAGGTTGGCAAACTATTTGTTCTACCTATTATGTCTAAGGATTTAAAGACATTTAATTATCTCACAAGGTTCTGGAGTTTGGTCGATCTGGCCAGACAGCAGGACCACATTGTCAAAGATCCAGGCATCTTTCTACTCTGCCATTCTGATGTACTGGCTTGTTGCCAAGGGCACCAGGCCACATTCTTGTGTTCAAGGCAGAGAGCAGAAATGGTGTCAGAGATGTATCTATCTTTAATCACGGAAGATCCAGCAGATTTTTTTCTTCTTTTTATTTTAGCCAACAAAGTTCACAAAACAAATTGGTTATTGTGGAAAACACTGTCAGTACCCAAAACACCATCTCAGCTCCTCTTGGGAAATGGCAAATGGGTATGATCCCCTGATCAGGGCCGCACCCTGAGCTGGGGACAGTGACTTCCCATTGCCTTATCTCATGTGGCTTTGCAGATAAGTTACCCCAGTGGATTGGTCTGACAGCATTTGAGAAATCCAACCCAAACTCAGTTTTGCGAGTTGCTATGTGCCTTCAAGTCAACTACAACTCATAGCGACCCTGTGTACAATCGCTCTGAACCCTGCCCTATCCTGAGCCAATCTCACTGCCTCTGGCACACCTATCCTCATTACCCCAGTTATTCTGTCAATCCATCTCATCTGAGATCTTCCTCTCTTGCACTGTCCCTCAACCCTTCTGAGCATGATATTCTTCTCCAAGGACTGGTCCCTCCTGGCAGCATGCCCAAAGCATGTCATATGGAGCTTAGACATCCTTGCTTCCAAGAGCAACTTGGTTTCACCTTCAGGACAGACTTGTTTGTTCTTTTGGCAGTTTATGGTGGGTTCAGTACACTTTGCAGCACCTTACTCAAAGGCATCGATTTGTCTTCCGTTGTCTTTAGTCATTGCCCAGCTCTCTGATGCATAGCAAGTAATTGAGAAGACCATGGCCTAGATCAGGTGCACCTTAGTCTCTAAACTGACATCGTTGCTTCTCAGCACTCTGGAGAGGTCCCTGACAGCAGATTTCCATAACACAATTTTTCTTGATTTCCTGACCGCTGGTGCTGAGAGAGTTGATGTGTAGCCAAGTAAGTTGTAACTGTTAACAATCTCAAGAGTGAGTCTTTATTAAGGGACTATGCAGACTTGGACACTCCAGTCCAAAGAAGCAGACTTCTTCCACAGCCAGCCAGGAGTTTTTATCTCCTTACTCACAAGTGCCTCCTTCGATTCGACCTTAGCTGAGCGTTAGGAGGTGTGCACTCTTTCCTGCATGGTGCCCAAGGTTTTATCTCTTCTTTTATGACTCCCCCCTCCTTTCTTTGCCCCCTCCTTCCTGTTCATTTGCCCACAGATTCCAGGGCCCTGTGGTTTGACATATCAGCTAATAGTTTTTGTTTCCTTTGGGCCAACTTGTGATTATTACTCCAGCCTTTGTTCTCTTTTACCCTGAAGATAGACCAGTCTACAATTAGTTTCTTATGGTTTTCCATTCAACAACCCACACCGGTTTATTTTATGACACTAGTTACAATACCTGCAATGGAAGCACACTCTTCACACCTCCTCCCTGGGGTTCGCATTTCCACTAATCCCTCTCTCTCTGCCCTCTATGTATCTTGGATACATATGAATAAGGATGACAGGAGAAGGATTGAGGCCTTTGAATTGTAGTGCTCGAGCAGAGCACTGAACACCACTGACCAGCGAAAGAACGTGCAGCCAGAGTGCTCCTTTGGAGGCGAGGATCATGAGGCTTCACCTCACATACTTCGGGCATGCTGCTGGGAGGGGCTATTCCTTGGAGATGGACATGGTGCTGGGAAGGGTGGAGGGTCAGTGAAGGAGAGGAAGACCCTCAACCAGGTGAATTGACATGGTGACTGCAGCAATGGGCTCTAGTATGTCAGGAAGTGTGAAGATGGTACAGGACAGGACATTGTTCATAGGGTTGCTTTGAGTGCTCAACTAGACAGCACCTAACAACAACAAACAACAACCACCACCCCTTATTGCCTTCTGAACTTTATCCCTGGGTAAATACTGCCCTCATGACCTTATGTGGTTGGTTGCTCTAAGGAGTGAGTACCTCTCTGGAGTTGTTATTCACTGTAGAAGCCTGTCTATTGTTTGGTTGAAGGTTGAACCGTTGGGGGTGGGGTGAGTGAGTTTTGAGCCAATTCTGGAGGGTCTGGTGGGTCCCACTGGTCTCCACTGGACCATAAGCCTGGTTGTTTTGTTTGTTTTACTTTTGGTCCACATTTTCCATTCACTTTCTCTGCTCTGTCGAGCCAGAACTGACCCATAGTGACCTTTGGTGACCTTTAGTAGGTTTTCAGAAGCTGTAAACAGCACACGAGGCGATTGCCCATCTTTCTCCCATGGAGCAGCTGGTGGATTTGAACCACTTGTCTTTGGGTTGACAGCACAACTCCTATCTACTTGACCACTAGAGCTCCCCAGACGTTTTGAGTTATTCCCCCCCCCCCCGAGGACTTTCTACTGTGCCCCTTTGAAGTGGTCAGCAGTGCAGCCGGGCACCATCTAGTTCTTCTGGTCTCAGGGCTGTGGACATTGAGGCTAGAGTGGCTTGTTAGTCCTCTGGACTCATTGTTTCTAAAGCAGAATTGTTTTTAGTGTCATTGGCCACCTCTGCAAAGCCACTGGAGGGTCCGCTGTGAGCTGGTTCTGACTTGATGGCAGTGAGTGAGTAACTTTGCCAAGATAATGTCTTTCCCCAG